TTCGTCACGAGAAAGGTCATCAGATAGGTCATTGTAACGAAGGATGCAATTTGGTTGATGTCAAAAAGCATAGTGAGTTGTGCAACCATGTAAGTGACGATGATTGCGTTAACGGGCTCATCGGTCTTCCTGGTACCCTTGCCGAAAAAACTTAGGCCAGGAAGCAAGCCGTCTCGCGCAACCGCCTGAAGCAGTTTTGCTGAGCCAATCACTCCCATAAGAGCAGAGAAAAAACTTGTCGCGAATTCTCCCATGAGTATAACTGCCCCGGAAAGATTTGCCTGTACTTAGTGAGCGACGCACGCTGTTCAATCCATGTAACCATTACATACCACTTGAACAACGTTTGCATTTTTGTAAAATGATTCCCGGGTGATCGAAGCAGCCATGGCAAGAATTACAATAGCATAGGTGATGAATGTCAAGACTAGCCCACACAGAGTTCCCTTGGGAATCGATTTGCTCGGGTTCTTAAGGTCACCAGACATGCTCGCGCCGCTGTTGGTACGTGAGCTTGGTGTTCTTAAGTTCTAGGAAACGTACCTACGCGAATATACCACCAGTAGCAGGGAACAGGATCCCGAATAGGTCCTGGAAATTCTCCCGTCCACGTATTTGGCTGCCAGCAGCGCCTTTGGTAAGCTTGGGTTTGAGATTTTCTAGCAGCGTCTGAAGCCGCAATCCTGTGAATTCTACCCCAACCTTTGGGATGCTGAATGGCTTCATGAATACGGCAGAGACTGGTATGCTGAAAGTCGCGATGAGGAGAATGATAAGCAACCCGTTGCTAGCTCTGGAGAATATAGAACTTCCCGCTAAGCATATCGCGGTACACATTATGAGGATGACAGTTCCCCAGAGGTATTGCCACCAGAAGCCTTCTCTAAGGAAATTGCCCCAAGTACCAGACTCAGACCCGAAGTTCTGTGTGAAACAGTCAACAAGACCGACGGCATTCATACCGGTATTCAACACATAACCCAGGTAGAACACTATCCCTATAGATCCACCAAACTCAGGACCTAGCGATCGAGATATAAGATAGTATGCTCCACCTCCTCGTACTGTTCCGTTGGTTGCAATAGCGGATAGAGACATAGTCGTTACGAGATTGATCGTGTACGAAGCGACCAGTAAGCCTACTCTCTGTCAGACCCCAATTGGCTTGTGTGGGTGATGATTGAAGGGCGCCATACCTAACATCCCTAATAACCCAGCTTGGCCAAGGATGAAGCCAAAGCGAAGGAACATCAGGATACTAAGGACGTTCAAGGTGGTCGGCACAAAGACGCCAGAAAATGTCCCAAGCTTATCAGGATTGTCAAGCGTACGGTCTTTCTGGCTATCTCTCTCCTTCTGACCCTCTCTGAAGGGCCCAGGGGGCGAGCGATTGGCATTTAATCTCTCCCTAGGGAGTTCATGCTTTCCGTCACTCCCCTGCCCACTCCACCAACGAGCAACATTATCGATGACGTTCTGTTGGGATTGTTGTCGGCTTTCGGATGAGCGGTGATGAAAATGCGGAGGCTCGTGCGAATGTGAGGAGGAATTCATCCTCCCGTGGAGGAACTTGCTACTTTCTTCGGGAGATGCATTGGCAGATTCGCTCGGATCCAACCTAGAAACGTCTTCTTCAGCCGCCCGCGTGGAGAAATTGGGTCTCCTTCGGGACAGAGACTCCGAGGCACTGTCAGCCCGTCCGTCAGTCATGGATATAGGGCCTCCGCTCCTGGTTGTAGGAGCTTTTCTCCTCCCTCATACAGCAATGACACAATTGAAAGCGGACGAATCGGAGGCGCAAGGACAATGAGTTGGTGCTAAGACCGGGTAAGAGTAATTTGCCTGCAAGCACAGTAAGAGCTACTGTGATGCAAACCAGCAAGGACCTCTCAGGGCCATGCACGTTAAGTTACCGTGTAACGAACAAAGGATAATGGAGACGCGAAGTCCGAGTTCAGATCGTCGGCGATGACCTCATGTGCCGAGCGACAAACAAACAATGCAAAAGTGGTCACTGGGTCTGGCAGTCTGCCTCATCTGATCTCCCTTATCTCATCCTCGTCTCTCCATCACTTCTATCGTTCCTTTGTTGGCCCGTTCATCTTTGTTCATGATTGTCATGGTCGACAAGGCGCGGGGTGTTTTGGGGTGCGTGGAAACAACAGGAAGCCTAGTCCCTCCGCATACATTGCGGTGAACGACTTGCGCCTCTCGCATTATCGATCCTCTCAACTCTCCTTCTCCGCTCTTATCAGCCCTTCCTACTTCGTAGGCATTCCCCCCATGATCCTGGTTCGCCTCCGAAAACTCAAATAGTACGAATTGTTCTCGGAATTAACCAAGTTCTCGTACTCCGAGAAAATTCAATCTTGCTTCTTGTCAACATGTCATCCTCCAGGATGTCTGACAACGGTGAGGGCTCATCCTCTCAGCGTAACCGTTCAGCGTCGCCGATCTCCACGTCCGCGATGCGCTCAGGATCACCTGCAGGAGATGTTTCTTCTTCTTATAGGCATGCCTCGATAGCCCGTCTAGCATCACCAATTCCTTCTCCCTCGAATTCCTATTCGTCAAGACAGGTACCGCTGCCGATTCAACCAACCGCAGCAACCAACCAAGACCTCCGGAAAGTCGACAATCCGTCATCCTTACCCGGCCCCGGACAATCCATGATTGCATCTGCGCTCCAGGACTACCTCGGCCGGTCTCCTCCTCCGAGAGCGGGTACCCCTCCGAGGCGGACTGCTTCGCCTGGCCTCCTGAACCAGCCTGTCAGGTCGAACTACGGTTCCTTCGATAACAAGGCTGGGAGAGAGGGTTCGATATATTCAGCTGGCCCATACGAGGATCCCGAAGTTGTCAAGAGACATTTGGTGCAACCCCAGAATGTGGTCGAAAATCGGGATATTCACTCTTCTGGGGGTGCCCAAAGTAACGCCGAGGATGAGTTCTCTAGTCTGCAACTCCAGGGTGGTGATATCACGAGACAGGTGTACAGATGGGCCGAGGACGCAGAAGCTGGAAGCTCATTGCGGAAACCCCACCGCAGCAGGAGCTTCAGTCATGCTCGACCTGCACCTGAGGATGAAACCACGAACATCAACAGTATCCGTGTCCCAGGAGGTTTCAGAAGAGACTATCTAAGACGGGCAGTAGGCCCCAACCTCCCTGGAGATCTGGATGGCTCGGGTGCGCAGGCTTCTGCTGCTCAGCCCCAGCTTCCAACAAGCAGCTTTCTGGAATTTCTGACTCTATACGGTCACTTTGCTGGTGAAGAGCTTGAAGAGGATGACGAGGTCTTGGGTCCTGATGAGTACTTCTCATCGGATACTTATGATGAAGCAGAAGGCAGAGAACCAGGTGAAGACTCAGCCCTTCTCAGGCCAGACACAGCTGGCCGGAGGAAGCGCAAGCCACGCGGTGGGACGGGAACCAACACGCGGACCGGAGCAGCTTTGCTTCTACTCAAGTCTTTCGTTGGTACAGGAGTCTTGTTCTTGCCGAGAGCTTTCTTGAACGGTGGCATGCTGTTCAGTAGCATGGTACTTCTTGGTGTATCACTACTCAGCTTTTACTGTTTCATCCTCCTGGTTAATACGCGGCTGAAGATTGATGGTTCTTTTGGTGACATTGGCGGTGCGCTCTATGGAAAGCATATGAGGCGCATCATTCTCGGCTCCATTGTGTTGAGTCAATTGGGCTTCGTCTCGGCATACATTGTTTTCACGGCCGAGAACCTACAAGCCTTTGTCCTGGCTGTCAGCAAATGCAAATCTTTTATTGACATCAAGTTTATGGTGCTGCTGCAGCTGGTCATCTTCCTCCCTCTTTCATTGATCCGCGATATCAGCAAGCTCGGTTTCACTGCCCTCATTGCAGACCTGTTCATCATGATGGGGCTGGTTTACCTCTTCTATTACGATTTCTTGACTATCTCCAACCAAGGCGGTGTTTCGGATATCATATCCTTCAATCCATCCACCTGGACACTTTTCATCGGCACGGCTATTTTCACATATGAGGGCATTGGTCTGATCATTCCCATTCAGGAATCAATGAAGCACCCGCAAAAGTTCCCCGGTGTCCTCGCCATGGTGATGGTGATAATCACGATCATCTTCCTCAGCGCTGGTGCGTTCAGCTATGCGGCATATGGTTCCGCAACGAAGACGGTAGTCATCCTCAACATGCCTCAGGATGACAAGTTTGTAAATGCTGTGCAATTCCTGTATTCTCTGGCGATTCTTCTCAGTACCCCACTGCAGCTCTTCCCGGCCATTCGAATCTTGGAGAACGAGCTTTTCACTCGCAGCGGAAAGTACAACCCCAGTATCAAGTGGAAGAAGAATTGCTTCCGTTTCTTCCTTGTCATGATCTGTGCATTTATTGCTTGGGGCGGAGCAGAAGACTTGGACAAGTTTGTTTCGCTTGTCGGAAGTTTCGCCTGTGTCCCCTTGATTTACGTATACCCGGTAAGTTAACTATTGACGTACCTTCGTCTAGTCCGCCAAATCGATTACTAACTTCTGCTCAGCCTCTACTGCATCTCAAGGCCTGTGCCCAGTCGAGACGACAGCAGATTGCCGATATCGCACTCTCCGTTTTTGGTGTCCTTAGCTGTTTGTATACGACCGCCCTGACGCTCAACAACTGGATCAATGGGTCAGACGTCAAAGCCCCCGGCTACTGTGACTCATAGATTGTGTAAATGTCATGATTGTTATACCGTTCCTTCGGATCGGATCTCTGGATATGAATGATTGATGCTACAATGTGAGGCCATCGTCCATTCGATGGATTGGCCTATACTTCTTGGTCTGATTGCTAAATCCCTGTTTGATTAAATCTTGTTTATCATTGCTGTATTCTCGATTGTATTTGATATAGACTAGAGATTAAATTGCCAGTATATGTCTATTTTGACCTTGTCCATCTTCCCTTCTAAGCAGATAACACTTACTCAAATAAATGAAGTCGACTAAACAAAGCTTTACCAGATCATCAATGTCTAAACCTTGTTGATGCGCAAAAACAAAAGCCTATATACAGAAAACCCCGGCATGCCCAGCTGCTAGATACAAAGATATCTCATAGTCAACAGCAGAAAACCCAACCCCCCCACCAAACAAAACTACCAATCCCAGCGCCACTATTAATAATACAAGTGGCTGGAGCCGTCATCTTGCCCCATATCTTACCTGGATCATCCCTCAACGTACAGGTCTCACATTGATTTGGCGATTTGATTCATGATATTGTGGTATTGTCTACTTAAATGGGTAGGTGGGCAGGCAATGCTGCTGAAGACGTATGGGGTATTCATAAGCCGCGCAGCAAGCGGGATGAGGCGATAAAGTCGAGAAAAGGAAGATGACGTCGTTTAAGCGCCAGCCTCGGTGGCATTTTTGCCCTGCTTGGCGGCCTCGGCGAGCTGAGCTTCACGGCCTCCCCAGCTGTTGATGCGAAAGTCAGCATTATCCTTTCATGTCTCAATGAGGGTGGGAAGAAAGAGCCATTTTGTGACGTACTTCCAGTAGTTCAGGTAGCGGTATCCTTGGGTAAGCTGGGCGGAGAAGTTGACGGCGTGGCAGGCGAACAGGAGGTAGTTCTTGGGGGAGACGGCAAGGGCGTAGCGCATGAAAGTGCCCGAGTAGACAACGAGAGCACCGGTCATTTGGCCGGAGATACTGTGTAGATAGAATGACAGTTAGCAAACATATTATTGGTTAAGAGGGTGCTGGCATGTTCGTCTGGGCTATCCCGATAAGCTCTCAAAGCTTGATTCGATGTGCAGGGTATATTCAGGAAAGGAACTCCGCGGAGCGAGGGGAGGTAATTGTAGCGACGTACATTTCAGGGTCCTTCTGAGTGTCCATCACCGCCGCAATGGGAATACCGAAGTTGGAGGCAGGGCCCCAGAAGTCTAGTTAAGATCATTGTTAGCCAAGAGAAATTGCTTTTTATGAACCAGATTTGGCTAAGTAAGAGCTTCGTGTTCGTGACCGAAAACATGTGCTGAAAGGATTCATTGAAGTTGCTCATCAACCCCTTCAGAACATGTCTTACGGCAGACATTCTTGTCGGCCGATCTCGGTCAGGAACACGGAGAGGGTAACGGTGAGGATTGAACGTACGGGTAGAGCAGAAGTAATCCAGGGCCTTGTTAGACCGGATCTTCGCATTGATTGCCTTGATTGCAGCGGCCATTTTGACGACTCGAAGGCTTGGACTAAAGTGAGGGAGTGGAGAGTTGATCAGAGGAGAGTACGCAGGGCCGAGCGGTTTGCTTTCCTCACTCCGTCACCTGCAGTCCGCGCCGGGCGGAGTTACCCGGAGACGGTCACGTGCACTATATCCCTGCGAAGTCGTTGGTTGAATCGGACCTGCTAGGTGCTTACTGCGTACTACTAGGCTAAATCTACACCTGCAGCTGTCCAATCGCCGTAGAATTGAAGTATAGTCTTACATGAAACAGAGAAATTAAAGGCTTCAAACCCTCATTAGGATTCACTAATACAATTGAGTGCTCGAAATACATCTAGCATTACTTCTGTCGGTCCTATCCTTATTTCGGTCGACCTTTTCTTTTGTCAGGGCATTCCCTGCATCCGCACACGCCGCAACGCCTTTGCCTGGTAAAACCCGGGGTGCTATGCCTATTCGTCTGAGGTTCGTCAAATAGGCGACTAATGGGAAGTGAATATTGTTCGCTTGATTCGTAGTTCGAAGTATCTGCCATGCCGGTGTCATGGCCAGGTTGCAAGCCATCATGCTGCTGCACATACTATCAAATCACCGTCCACCAAAGCCGGGTGGAGGGAATCCGCGGCCCTGTCCAGGGGGCTGGAATCCCGGTGGGGGTTGGAAAGCACCCGCTACAACAGCCTCAGTTAGCTCATGAACCATAACGCGTAATCTTAGGATACTTACGAGGAGCACCCTGAGGCGCGAATCCCGGGGGAGGAGCGAAGCCAGCTGATAGCTTATGTCAGTAACCATGTTCAACCATTGAGCTCGAAAGTGCAAACTTACGAGGTCCACCAGGGGCACCACCACGACCAGCGAAGCCCGGAGGGGGAACTCCAGGGAAACCACCACCAGGAGGGAAACCAGGGAAACCGCCGGGCGGCGGGGGAGGGCCACCAACACCCGCGGCAGGGCCTCCCAGACCGACCGGCAGACCACGTCCAGCGGGTTTGCTAATTCCAGGGCCAGCTGCGAGAGTGGCAGCTGCGGCAGCTGCACCAGGGCCAGCAGTACCAAGTCGGGCAGAGGGATCGGCGGGAGGAGGTCCATCAACGGAGCAAGAGACGACATGTGTACCGCGAACAATGGTAAGACCCAGGGTGCGCTTTTCTTCGGCTTCGACAAGAGGTGCGTTGGTCGAACCGGCGGCGGGCTTGGACTTGCGCTTGACGCGACGGAATTCTTCTGTATCGGCGAGGACAAGGTTCATGTGCTAAGTGACTGCGTCAGCGACCGGCATACTACAAGTATTATCCGATGGCCACTGAAGGGCCCGGGGATATATACCTTATCGAAAGCGAGCATCTGTCCCGTCATCTGTCGGCCATCATTGAGGGTGACTCTCATCCGATAGTTGATCTGAGGATAATGTCAGGTTTGACGCGCGAGTAAAATATGTACTGTCAGTAACTTACGAGGTTTTGCTATCAGAATAAAGAGAATGAGTTAGCCACGCGAACATGGGTATACAAGCTGATATCAACAGCAAAGGGAAGAATCCGATCAACTCACCATCTTGCCCTGCTTATTAGCCGCCATGTTGGGCTATGAATGCGCACGAGTGCGACTTGAGTAAAACCAAAGAATTGTTTTGTGAGATGGTAGAAGGGGTAATCTTCTACTTAATCGTCACTTTGTCCTTACTGAGCTGTCGCGCTCGGAGTGAAGGTCGGTCGAGGTCTGCAACACTTTCTCCAAGCGGCACCAGCTCGACTTGCTACGGGTCGGAGGTCCATGAGGCGCGGCTCTGCGGCTTGGCGCCAGTCGACCGCGCCAAGCCACTAAGGGCTCTCGCTTCCCACTTTCAACCCACACATTTCCCTTTTACACACTTTTCGATCCTTGAGTTTCTTCCAACCAACCAGTCGACCAGTTCACGCCAAAAGCAGTCGCCATGGTATGTTGCCCATCGCCAATACACTTTTCAGCATTGATATAAACCCGATCCTCGAGACTCCGAAAATTCCCTAAACAAATTTTTTTCTAACATTTTTGTCGCCATGCAGTCGGAATCCAAGGACAAGTCCGCCAACCCTATGCGCGAGCTGCGCATCCAGAAGCTCGTGCTCAACATCTCCGTCGGCGAGTCTGGTGACAGACTTACTCGCGCTGCTAAGGTGCTCGAGCAGCTGAGCGGTCAGACTCCGGTCTACAGTAAGAACGCCCGAACCCGATGAATCCGAGAATTTCGAATACGAAGCAGCCGAGGAAGGAGGATATGATAACTGTGACATGGAATGGATGGCTGATGGGATGATTTTTTCAACGTTTAGGCAAGGCCCGTTACACCGTCCGTACCTTCGGTATCCGTCGTAACGAGAAGATCTCCGTCCACGTTACCGTCCGTGGCCCCAAGGCCGAGGAGATCCTTGAGCGTGGTCTTAAGGTCAAGGAGTACGAGCTCCGCAAGCGCAACTTCTCCGAGACCGGTAACTTCGGTTTCGGTATCTCCGAGCACATCGATCTGGGTATCAAGTACGACCCCGGTATCGGTATCTACGGCATGGACTTCTACTGCTGCATGTGAGTGCACTCCAACCTCTACGCAGTCCTAGTTCGACAGATCCATCGGTGTCGATCCAGGTCGAGCAGGACAACATCCAGGCATCAGGAACTGACTCGGAATTACTAGGACCCGCCCTGGTGAGCGTGTCGCCAAGCGCCGCCGCTGCAAGGCCCGTATCGGCTCCCAGCACCGTATCACCCAGAACGAGACCATCAAGTGGTTCAAGAACCGCTTCGACGGTATCGTCCGGTAAATGCCCTCATCCACGGGGTCTTCAGGAGGGAAAGCTCCGGGTTTGTGTTTATGATGAATCGATCAAAAAATGGTCAGAAAAGGAGGCAGGCGTTCTTGAAAATCATTATCGCTCTGCTCTGAAATATGGCTTTTCTACCACGGCATGAGGTTAGGCGTGTTAGAGATATCAAATTCCCAAATTTTTCATACGCATCCACTTTTCTCAATGAAGGCTTCACGAAGGGTGATGATTTCCGCATAACCATTGATGAAAGGTCTCCCATGATGCTTTTGCTGTGTTTTGCCACTTGTACCACTTTCAACACACAGTGGTGCTATAGTGTGCATTTGGCCTGAAACTCATCTCTCTGAGATTGAGTGTTTCCTTTTGCGAGATGTGCTTCTAGCATTATTCTCTGCTACCCCAGGACTGATGCTTTAGAAACATGGGTCTCAACACCCTGTTTCTGTGCTCAGTCTCGGCCTCGTAGTGGTATCTTTGAAAACTCTTTTGAGTAGATAAGCCGACCGACTCGTAGCAGCCAAACTGGCTATTGACCGACCGCGCTTGTAGAGTCTAGCCCAATACCCCGGGTCTCACTAGTACTACTGATTGCCGCTCGACAGGCATGCTACCAAGTTTTTGATGGGGAAATTCTCTGTGAAACAGCTTAGGTTTGGGTCCAAGGTCCTAATTACGTACCAATTTTGGCATGTATAGTTTGGGGCTGGCGAATCTTGCGACCGCAGAACCCCGCATTCTACTTATCCCTTACGATTCAAATGTGCTATCAAGCAAACGCTAGTCAAATTATGTTTGTTGACTATTACAGTAGTCATCATACGTACATGCAACATAAGTTCGTCGAGATAGCATAGCTATACCTCGCCTGACTTGACTAAGTAGCAACAATATTCGCATAAATCACTGAGGGGTCTGGCCCCTCACGTACAACATTTCCGATGTCATAGCATTTCATCAAAGAAGGGAATTAGTTGGGATTATTTACTACCTCCTCTCGTGTATCCATCCCACCACTTGGCGAAGAATCCGCCCTGCTGTCCCTGCTCGTTCCAGCTTTCACGGCGTGTATTGAAAGTCTGGTCCGTAGAGTTGCGCTTCTGGCTTGTCAGACTCTCAAACAGGCTGGACGCGCCATGGCCGGTTGAGCGTCTTCTGTCCCCAACGCTGGGGGGAGGGCTGTTGCTCAGATTGGCAGAGTTGGAAGACATATCCGATGAATCAGAGCCCTTCATATACAGAACGGTTAGTTAGTGCAGATGCTAGGAGTGTGAAGGTTCCAATCATAAGGCTGAAGTCAAGTGCTTGGGATGATGGCAAAAACTGTTCAGACATACGCGTCTGTCGGAAGTGGCAGTGGCAGCGGTGGTAGTAGGGATCGAAGGTCGACGGTAGGTCTCAGGAGGACCTCCTCGCACCCAGACATTGAGATGCTCGTAGCGATCACCGACAGTGCCATGCCAATGGCGGGGAGACTGGGGCTGTTGGTTGTTGCTCATGGTTCCTCTTCTCTTGTACTTCTTCGTTCGCGATGATATCGAAGGAGCAGTATCAACTGCGTGCTTCGTAAGTTGAAGTGAGGATGTGATCCATAGGAAAAGGGACTAAACAGGTGCATGTGTATGGCAAACAACCACAGGTGAATAGCAGCCAAATCGATCACGGACTATGGTTACATAGCTCTTTCATCATGTAACCGGGAGGCTCCGGTGTCATCTCAACGACAGATAATCAAAGAAAAAGAGTCCAGCTGATCGATATTGAAGAGGGCGAACTCGAAATCAAGACTTCAACTTACCGGTTAGCTTATTTGCAGTGTGTCCTCGATACAGGAGTTGTTTTTACCGATCAGAGCAAATACCCGGGACGACAGCAGCTCCTTATAAGAGATTCCCAAAGTAAGAGAGGGGTAAGTCAGCCACCCTCCGAGTGCTGTGAACCAGACCCTGGGTATGATGATGCAGCAAAAGGCAGGCCCATAGGTCTGAGGGGGCAAAAGTACGTCCATGAACCAATAATGGGCAGTAATGGCTTGGGGACCCCGGTCCTAGGATTGCAAAAGCTTCCTTGACAACGGCAATGATTCATCATCTCTGGGAAATCGTATACGTCGATCCACGGATAATTTCCAAAATGTCACAAGTTATTTGGGATTAATCAGCTCTCTTAGGCGGAAACAATCCAATAAAACGATGTGCAGATTTGGTCGTGTGCCAATGGAATTCATCCATGATGGCTTGACGTCAGGTGCTCTGCCAAATGCGGGGATCGAAGAGTAACTGCGCAGAGAGAAAAAGTACCGTCTGTCTCTTCCTGTGAAGCATCAATATCTGCACTGTGTCTAGAAATTATTTATCTTCAATGAGCGGGGTAATGGGCAACTAACTAGCTGAGGATATATTTGATGGCATCTGTCATCTATTCGAAAATAGCGCAGCATACAATGGAGGTGTTGAACCGTATAACACACAGACTTGGGACCCCGAAATGAAACATCATCATAGGCACTGGCTTAGCATATGTGTACAGCGTACAGATGCATCAGAAGCTAGAGGAAAAGACATGGCCGAGGAGCAGGCCATCACTCCATCCTACTGCTGACCTATAATTTAATGCCTCAGGCAACTAGCGGCATCCAAATCTGGGGCCGAAGCGGAATGATTTCGGCTTCCCCGCGGGCCGCTTTGATATGCCTCGCCCATCTTGACCGTTTATTATGGTTCAGCGTCCGCGTTTCCCCCTTACATTTCCGCTATATCTTATCATTCTATAGGCTATATTTGCCGACGATTTAGCAAACATGTCAATTATCTCAGGATTCGTCAATTCTTCCCCTGAGTCTCCACCGCCTGCCAAGATTTCGGCCATCGGGACCCTTATCATGCGCTAAAGACGCGAGCGCCCTCCCCCTCGTGCGGAGATGCCGTCGGTCAGAACGGCCCTTTCTGGGGCTATATCTATCCATGGAACCTCGTGTGCCATAGCTTTCGACCATTTCTCACTCTCTATTATACCACAAGAGCTCTAAGACCGCCCGCCATATATATATTCATTCTCCCAGCCCACAATGGCACTTCTAGAGACATTTGGTCATCCCTACCTGAAGTCCCTGGCCCATCGTGGCTACATTCAGGGCACCACTCTGCACTCAAAAGCGACTAACCAGCCCCTGTGTCACTACTTCGGATCTGTCCGATATGCCCTTCCTCCTCCTGAAAGATGGCGTCGGGCCCGGAAGCTCCCCGAATCCTATTCCTACGGCACCAAAGACCAACCCGCCCCTTGCGACAAAGATGCTGCTGTTTGTCCGCAGCCCAGCTTCATGGGTCGTCCGTACACGAAGGGGTTCACAGAGGACTGCTTTGAGGCCAGCGTGTGGGTACCACTGGGAGAGGCCCCCAAGGGAGGTAAGTAACGCGATCCTCGACACATCAGCCGAAGCTAATAAAATGATCCTATAGGTTGGCCGGTTCTTTTCTTCATCCGTATGCGCGCCCCTCTGAAAGTGCCTACAATCCATTCCCTGACCTGATACTGATGATTACACATCTTAGACGGAGGCTGGCTACAATTCGGCCACCCGAACGGGTTCTCCGCCGCAGCCCTACTAGGTGATGCTGGACTCAACGCCATTGTCGTCCTTCCAGCCTACCGGCTGAACGTCTTCGGTTTCTTATACTCCTCGGAGATCGGGAAGGACGCCTCCTCCGTAGGCGAAACAGCAGGCAACCACGGCTTCTGGGACCAGCGTCTAGCCCTAGAATGGACGAGGGACAACATCAGCCTCTTCGGCGGCAACCCATCCCAGATCACCGTCTCCGGATACTCAGCCGGTGAGTTGCCTTTTCACCCCCTCTCCCTATATGCGAAGCCCCAAAACTAACCCAACCAGGCGCCTACTCAACATTCTACCAACTCGCCTACGACCTCCAATTCCCTGCCTCCCAAGCAATAATCAAACAAGCCTGCATCTGGTCCAACGCCGCCGCCGTACAGCCCAAGTCTCCAGCCTCCGCCCAAGAACAATTCGATCAACTCCTCTCAGCCCTAAACATCCCCAGCACCCTCCCCTGGGCCGAAAAGATCTCCCATCTCCGATCCCTCTCCTCCCAAACCCTCCTCGACGCCGCCATGAGCGTGCAACTAAACCAATACCGCCCGACCTCCGACTCGGCCTTCATCCAACCCACCCTCTTCAACTCCCTCGACAGCGGAGCCTTCGCGCGCGCCCTCACCGCACGCAACGTGCGCATCATGCTCGGCGAATGCCGCGACGAGCGACACCTCTACGCCGCCTGGTTCCCACCACAAGCCGACAGTCTCTCCGCTCTCCATTCCAGACTTCTCGCAGATTACCCGCGCCACGTCGTGGACACGCTCATGAAGCTCCACTACCCGGACGGCAAGTTACCATCGTGCTGTGAGAACTGGGACAATGATGCCTTCGGGCGGGTGTATGCCAAGATGCAGGTGCATGATATGCAGCGCGGGCTGATTCATGCTCTTGCTAGTGGCGGGGCGGGACATTTGCTTTATCGGTATCGGATTGAGTGGCGGGCTAAGTGTGTGGATGCCAATATTCCGCCCGACTGGGAGGTTACGCATTCTAGTGATTACCCGATTTGGTTCTGGGGGAATGGACATGTGTTGGAGCCGGAGGAGAAGGGTGTTATTCGGCGGGCTTTGATGGATACGTTTATTAGGTTTGTTCATGGGGAGGGGGATGTGAAGTGGGGTACGACGCATCATCGGGAGATGAGGACCTTGAAGCCTGATGGGTCGGTTGAGATTGTACAGGATACTGCGCTTTGGGATGAGGCGATGCGCGTCTGGAAGGCTTTGCGGGAGGTGGGAGAGCCGGAGGCTTCTGCTGCAAAGCTCTAAAGGATGGGGTTCAATGCTTCTGAGAAATTGGAGGTTGGCCTTGATTCTGTATATATCGCACGATGTCTATATATGCTGCATCTACTAGAGACTACGAATGTCTGGAAGAATGCTTTAGAATCAGTTGTCATTCATATGTTCAACATAGTATGTCCCTGACAACCATTGATCGTAAATAAGCTGTGGCATAAATATGGAAATAACCCAATCCCAACCCAAAATATTTCATAAACATAACAGACGCTCTAATCTAAAAGAAGAATATTGGCATAGTGTCCTTGTTCAGCGTGAGGAAAAATAAGCCGGTCGCAAGGACATCAACATCGACATTAGCTTTTCAAACATTGCCGTCATAACGGTGTTACTCTTCTAGGCCTTGACGATCTTGCACACGAGATCCTGGCCATCCACCGAGTCACCTTCCTTGACCAGCAAGCTGGAGACCTTGCCACTGTGGGGAGCAGAGATAACCATTTCCTATTGAATGTTAGCGGCCGATCTTGACTTTTGATTGATAGTCCTAGGGTTGCACATACCATCTTCATGGCGCTCAGAACGGCAATCGGGTCACCCTTCTTGACTTCCAAGCCGTCGTGGACACGGATCTCAACAACCACACCGCTCATAGGAGCACCGACCTGGCTGCTGTCACCCAGCTCGGCCTTGGGGCGGGCAGTATTCTCGACGGATGCCTTCTTGTCGTCCACACTAACCTGACGAACCTCACCGTTGACTTCGTAGAAGACCTCGCGCTGACCGGTCTGCTCGGAGAGGGGACCGATGGCCAACAGCTTCAGGATCAGCACCTTACCCTTCTCCAGCTCGACGTGGAATTCCTCGCCGATCTCGGGCTTGGCCAAGAAGTAACGCGTGGGCAGGACGGACAGATCACCGAACTTGGCGACGAACTTCTTGTAATCCTCGAAGACCTTGGGGTACATGGCATAGCTGGCCACGTCGTACTCGGTGGCTGCGCCATAGTTCTCCCGGATCTGGCTCTTGATCTTGGCCAGGTCAAGGGGCTCCAGGTACAGACCAGGGCGCTTGTCGAGCTTGCGACGGTCACGCAGAGCGCGAGAGCGCAGAGGCTCGGGGAATCCACCGTAGGGCTGGCCCATGAGACCCTCGAGGAACTCCAGCACGGAACCGGGAAAGTCAAGCTCGCCGGCGCGGGCAATCACATCTTCAGCGGTCAACTTGTTCGAGACCATGAACTGAGCCAAGTCACCGACGACCTTGGAAGTGGGAGTGACCTTGACAACATCGCCCAAAAGATCGTTGGCAGACTCGTAGGCCTTCTTCGTCTCAGCCCACTGCTGGCCCAGACCAAGCTGGCTGGCCTGGAAGATCAGGTTGGTCAACTGACCACCGGGGATCTCGTGCTCGTAGACCTCGGGGTCGGGACCGGTCAGACCCGCCTCGAAGGGCGAGTACAGGAGACGCAGCTGGGCCCAGTAGGTGTCAAGGGCGCGCACCTGGGACGAGTTGAGGCCAGGGTCGTGCTCGGTTCCCTCGAGAGAAGCGAGGATAGCACCAATGCTGGGCTGGGAGGTCATGCCGGAAAGACTGTCGGTGGCAGCATCAACAGCATCAGCACCGGCCTGAGCGCAAGCAATCATAGAAGCCACACCGGTACCAGCGGAGTCGTGGGTGTGAACGTGGATGGGAAGGTCAGGGTAGCGCTCGCGGATGGAGCCGATCAGCAGACGAGCAGCCTGGGGCTTCAGCACACCAGCCATGTCCTTGATACCCAAGACGTGGGGCTTGAACTGAACCACCTTGTCGACAAGGTCGAGGTAGTAAGGCAGGTTGTACTTCTTGCTGGGGTTGAGCATGTCACCACTGTAGCAAATAGTAGCCTCAACAACACCCTCAGCAGCGTGAACAGCCTTAATGCCGACCTCGAGCTGGTCAACGTCGTTGAGAGCATCGAAGACACGGAAGATGTCAACACCGCACTTCTTGGCCTGCTTACAGAAGTGGTAGATGGCGTTGTCAGGGAGGGAAGAGTAGGCAACACCGTTGGCACCACGGAGCAACATCTGGAAGGGGATGTTGGGAACGGCCTTGCGCAGCTTGCGAAGACGGTCCCAGGGGTCCTCGTACAGGAAGCGCATGGCGACATCGAAGGTGGCACCACCCCAGCATTCCAAACTGTAGGCGTTGGCGAGGGCGTGGCTAGTCTCGTGGGCGATGTTCAGGAGGTCAATGGTACGCACACGAGTGGCCAGCAGCGACTGGTGGGCGTCACGCCAGGTGGTATCCATGATCAAGCAGCCCTTGTTGGCACGCACAGCGCGGGCGAAAGCCTCGGGACCCTCGCTGTCCAAGATCTGCTTCCATCCCTTGGTGGCGGGGACAGAGACGTCGAGGGGCTTGCCGGCAGCGTCATGCAGGATGGGCTTGATGATATCGCCCTTGAGCTTGGGCTCGCCCATCTGGCCCTTGATGCTGCTGCCGTTGACAGCCACATCACCCAGGTAAGCCAGCAGCTTCTGGGCACGGTTCTGACTGCCGACAAGAGCGAACAGCTCGGGAGTGTCATCAATGAACGTGGTCCAGCAGGTACCGTCCACGAACACGGGGTGACTCAGAAGGGAAGTGAGGAAAGGAATGTTGGTCTTGACACCACGGATACGGAACTCGACCAAGGCACGAACGACCTTGCGGCGGGCAATTTCGTAGGTGGAACCACGGCAGGTACACTTGACCAACATGGAGTCGTAGTGAGGAGTGATGATGGCACCGGCAAAACCGTTTCCACCATCCAGACGGACACCGTTACCACCGGCAGAGCGGTAGACCTCGATCTTACCGGTGTCGGGGGAGAAGCCCTTGGAGGGGTCCTCGGTGGTGATACGGCACTGAATAGCGAATCCACGAGTGGAGATGCGGTCCTGGGTCAGGCCCAGCTGTTCCAGGGTAGCACCAGCCGCAATCTGGATCTGAGCAGCAACGATATCAATGCCCGTGATCTCTTCGGTGATAGTGTGCTCGACCTGGATACGGGGGTTGATCTCAATGAAGTAGTAGCGGTTCTGCTGGTCGACCAGGAACTCTGCAGTACCGGCGTTGCGGTAGTTGACCGACTTGGCCAGCTTGACGGCATCAGCCAGGATGCGGTCACGGACATCGGCAGGCAGATCCTTGGCCGGGGCAATCTCAACGACCTTCTGGTGACGACGCTGGACGGAGCAGTCACGCTCGAACAGGTGGACGACGTTGCCGTGGTTGTCACCCAGCAGCTGGACTTCAATGTGCTTGGGGCGGTCGAGGAAACGCTCAACGAAGACGGTGCCGTTGCCAAAGGCAGAGCGGGCCTCGGAGGTGGCACGCTCGAAGGAGTCACGCAGTTCGGCCTGGTCGCGGACGACACGCATACCACGACCACCACCACCGAAGGCGGCCTTGATAATGATGGGGAAGCCGTAGGTGTCGGTGAAGGCCTTGACCTCCTCGTAGCGCTCGACAGGGCCCGGGGTACCGGGCACGACGGGCACGTCGCAGCGGATAGCCAGCTGACGGGCGGAGACCTTGTCACCAAGGCTCTCGATGGTCTGGGGGGTAGGGCCGACGAAAACCATGCCGTGCTGCTCCACCTTGCGGGCAAACTCGGCATTCTCGGACAGGAAACCATAACCCGGATGGATCAGGTGCACACCATGCTCAAGAGCAATCTTGACGATCTCATCAATGGCCAAGTAGGCCCCGACCGGTGTATATTGACCGCGCTTGCCGATCATGTAGGCCTCATCGGCCTTCTGACGGTGCATGGAGAGACGGTCCTCGTGGGAGTAGACGGCGACAGTCTGCAGGGACAGCTCGTGGGCCGTCCGGAAGATACGAATGGGGATTTCACCACGGTTGGCAACAAGGATCTTCTGGAACTGCATGATGGCCGAATTGGCACGCAGACGGGTGTGGACAGAGTCCCTGTGCTGGTCATGGTGGTCATCGATGAACTCGGTGTCATCGACCGCCTCCTCGGGCTGACGGGGAGCAGCCATGGCGGGCGGGGGGTGTGTGTGTGTGTGTGTTTGTTGATAAGGATGGATAAGGGTGGGAGGGGGAGGGTGGGGAGCTAGAGTATAGGAAGGGAAGATGGAGAGCTATTCAGAGGAGATCTAGATGAAAGAGAGAAGGCACAGGGAGCTGGGGATGAAGGGAAATATAGTATACGAGTTAGCCGAATGATCCAATGATGCTCGGAAGAAAAAAAAGCAAGCCAGAAAACGGAGCAGTGATACGTTGGCGTGAGTCACCTGGGGAGAAGGTGCTTCCGGGGAAGAAAAAGGCCCGGTTTCGGAACGGGAAAGCGTGGGAGAGCGCGGGGAAATCGTGGGAGGATTAGGGAACTCAATTGGAGGGATCCGGCGACTTACCCGACGGGAAAAGGAGGATGAGGAGGAGGGGAAGGACCTCAAGAGGATGATGCGCGTGAGGAGAGGGAGAGAGAGATGGACAGAGAGGAATGAGATGAGAAAGTTGGGAGGAAGAAGAGGGGAGGGAGGAGGAGAGGAGGGCATAGAAGTACTTGGGGATGATGACCCTCATCCAGCGGCAGCCCGGCAAGCCAAAGCAGAGGAGCGGAGGGGCAGGTCAGCGCAAGGCGGAGGAGGGGATCCCGGACGGGCGATGACGCTGCGGCACGATTGGCAGGCGGTACTGTAATCAGATTACACCGCTGGGCCCTGGACGGTAAGCTATCGCCATAGTAAAGTAGCACCAGTCCAGAGCGCAGTTGGTAATTTCATTACGGCGCTAGTGGACGCCCCCCCCCCCCCCCCCCCCCGCCCGAGAAGCTCGACCTTCACCGGCACACCGGGCTGCAGCATGTGGGATGGTGACCCATGGAATGTCATGCTCGGCCTGTCTTGTCTGGCTCTGTCCATTTGACTTCTGCTCTTTTTTGCTTCTCTTGGGTAGGGTTGCAGTGCCTCCGTTCGTCCGGATTCATTGGCTGTCAGAAAGATTACAGTTTGGTGGGGGGTTGTCGTCCATTCGCAGTTGGATCATCGCCATGGACGCTCGGTCAATGGATTGTTTCCCGCGTGAATCCCTGGCGGCAATGATGGCTTTTCTTACGTCTGCACGCTATGTAGCTACCTACCATTCACACACTCTCTCCAGCATCACTCTCACATCTATACCGAAAATGCATCGGGTAGTTCAGGCGTCGCGTTCTCTTCCTTACCTCGGGTGCTCGGGCTAATTCATGCCTGCCAGAGCTCATGGAGCGTTCCAAGCTCGGGAAAGACGTTTCGTCAAGGTTACCTAGCAACATCGGCCTCTCCTGCCCTGATATCATGTAGCCGTCTGTAAACGAACCAAAACCCAGACCTTCCCCACCGTATCTCCGGCGATAGGCGACGGGGATCTTCATCCAGAAGCTGGCAAGAATCATCCGAGCGAGAGCACGCCAGCCCCCCAGTCAGTCCAGCCCAGTGTGCGTACTTTGTGACCGAGCCATGCATCGTGCCCTCTTTGCACCGATTCAGCCCTCAACCAAATTGCATCTATCAGCTTGGCAGTTTCTGCGATCGTCGCACCATGGGCCATCGATGCGAGGCGCTTCGGTGGATGGTAAGTCCAGGCCAAGCTCATAATTTCTTAAAATGATTTTACTAAACGATCCCCCCAACGTTGTCTGTGATCTACCTCGGCCAAGCTGGAACTATTTGCATCCCGCCTGTGCCTAGTAGTTTAGATAACGAGACAAAAAACGCACGTCGGCTATGTAGACTAGCTGTTCTTTGTCCGCTCATCTGGGGAGGCAATTTCCCCATCGAGTAGGGGAAGGGAGTAAATTACCCATATAAAAGTGAAACCACGTCCGGAGTGGATGGCCGATTCCATCGATAGCCTGGTTCCCCCCGGTTCCCATGACCTGGCGTGCAGAAAATCCCACCCGCCGGGACAAGACTTGCCTTCCCTAAATCTCACACCGGGCCTCACATCTCCGGTTCTAGATCTACTTGGTAATGCCCCTGGTGTACCAGTGCCCTTGTCTGATCTGTGTTTTCATCGGATAATTGGGATTATAATGGGCACGTGATAAGAAAAAAAAATTATGCTCTTTTCGGCTCATAGTGCCGAATGATAGATTGCTACTGGTGGTATGACAATAATTTCGTAGTTAGTGCCAATGGAGAGAACCTACCCTCCTCCTGGGTTCTAATCTATCTCCTGCGTTCCTTGCTCGAGAAGTTGCGTAGTAATTAAGCGTTGTTAACAGGGCTGTATATATAACGTTGATTGCATCCACCCATCTCCGTTCCCCTCCTGCAGTGTTCCCCTGCCTCCTCCGTCTGTCCGTTACCCCGGGCTAAATCCTTATCGCAGCATCTCCCGTCCACGCAAATCCTCCGCCCGGGGTGTCACTGCTCCCTTACCTATCAACTCGGTTGTTCCTCCAATCCTGCATGGACGGGCTAAATTCTTTCCCTGGCTCCCTCTCCTCTACGCGCTTCCCTTCAACCGAGTGCTTTTCTTTCGACTTAACCGGAGAGATGCTAGATCTTAGATCGCTATCTCGTCTAGAAGACCCAGCGTAGTGGCTATGAACAGTATAAACGATGGCGTGCTCGGTTGGAATTAGGATATAGCTACTAGTAATTGGCGTCCTCGGCGAGGAGTTAACCCCCGTCTACGGGACCAACTGCCGAGATCTAGGCGTAGATCATTCGGTCTCCAATACCGAAGTGCCGACGTGTACTACGAGCCGAATGTCGAATCAAGATTGAACGTCAATTATAATTGAACTAAGTATGACAAAAGCCCGTGACCACCCGGAGGTCTGTAAACTGAATGCGCAGATTTTCAAGGCCTATGAAATACATCTAGTGGGGTGAAATAAAAGGTAGAATAGGCAACAAATCATGGACAAAACGTGAGGGATGAGAAGGAACATCAAGTAAAAGGGAGAAAAGCCCGGCCAGGTGGAACAGCAAGCCCATCAGCTGACGCTTTTACAGCTGTCAAGGCTTTACTGTCCTACCCAAGCCCAGCAGTAGATCATCCATCGCTCATGCTATACATACACGGGGCCAAATGAGGTTTCTTCAGAAGGGGATCCAAGGAGAGCGTGACTGACATGCGTCTAGAAAGGGCGGAAACCGGTAGCCTGCGGTGTGATTCCGTTGGCCTGTCCAAACGCCATGGGGCTTGGCGCCGGCGCTGCCGGGCCCTGGGTCAACATCAACCGCGTGCCGCCCAGAATCGGGGTGTTGTCCTCCTCCGTCTTCTGAGTCACTTCGCGCGACTTGCGTTCTTCGTTGTCCTTCTTCAACATCTCGATCGTGCGCGTCTGCTCGCACAAGAAATTGATCATGAAGGGCATGGTGAAGTCGTTAAGACCATGGCGCCACGAAAGCTCGAGAATAACGTCGGGCCGGATGAGGTCGTAGCAGGCATACAGCATGCCAACGTAGCATTCGCGGCTGCCAATATCGACAAACTAAAAGCAGAGTCAGAATACATCTTTGAGCGCGATTAAGTGGAAAGCGAATTGACTCACGTAGCGAAGAAGATCCTCGACAACATCCGACTTGCCGGAGATGGCGGAAGTCTCGATGGCATCCTTGTAAAGCTTGTCTTGCTTGGACAAGGAGATCGACTTCTCCCAGCGCTTGTTGTTACGGTAAATGTTAGCTGCGATCTGGCGGAAGAAGATCAGATCATGCTTCTCCAACCGCTGGGCGAGTGCCACGGCATCGAAGTTGTCGTAGTTATCGACCGAGTCACGGAGAGTCTTGTAATCCTCCTCCTCGATCAACAAGTCGTTGATGGCATCGTTTACAGCCCTCTTGTTCTGGGTTTGGACATTGAGCAGGAACGGCTTGATCAGAGGAATGTTGTCCGAAGCCTGGAAAATACGCACGACACGGTTGACGTCAATCCGAGCAGTGAGCACCTGTAGCAAGTCGGTAAGGAGCAAAGGCTGTTCTTGCAGATAGAAGTTGAGCGCACGGTAGTAGATCTCCAGGTTGGCCACCTTGACAATGATGTCCTTGAACGAGTGGTGCTCCCAGGCATCGGCAGCACGCTCCATCATTGCCAATGCAGCGTTGTCCCACTCATCATAGTGGCAGTACAAGAAGACCAGCTCCGGCCAGAGACTTGCGTCCTCGCAGGCCCGAATCATCTTAGGGATGTTAATGCGAGACCAGAAGAGCTTGAGGTGTTCCATCACCCGGTCGGGGTGGTACTTGGAGAGAGCAATGCCCAATTCGGTGAACATGCCCATATGCGCCCGTTCCAGACCCAGGCCAGCCTCGAGAACCGCAATGAGCTCGTCAAAGTAGCCATTGCGCTCATACTGGCGCACAAGATCCTGAAGCTCTTCCGCGTGGACGATCAGGTTGAGACCGCAAATTTGGGCAAGGCGGAACTCCTTCTTGTTAACACAAGCTTCGTTGACCTGCTTCCAAACCTTGACACTGTTGGCTTTGCGTGCGCATTCCACGGCTGCCTGGTAATCTTCCAGGTGCACCAAGGTCGTTGCCAATTTGGCCCAGTTGGAAATGCTGGTGTAGAAAATCTTGGCAGCCTGGTGGTAGCCCTCCTCATAAGCCTTGTCACCGGAAGCCTCGACATCTGCAACGTTGGTCGTCCGCAGGAAGTCCTCGAGCTCCGAAAGCTGATCGAGACGGGCGTAACAGAAAGCAAGACCCGTGTCAATGGCAGGCTCACGCAAGGTCTTACGGGCCATCTTGAGATACTTGACGAGGTCTTCATCCTTGCCAGCATGCGTAGCCGTTTCGATGACCTCGTTGTAGTTCGAGGGATCGCCGGCACGGATATAGGACTCGATGGAGTCGGACACCCGAAGACCATCCAGCTGGGCCTTGGCAACCTTGCTCCACACCTCCGGTAGCTCGACACGCTCCGCAAATTCTTGCGCGCGGTCAATGCTAACAATGTTCTCAACCAAGACGTTGACGGCGGCAATGAAGTTGTTCACCTTCTTGTAGATCTCAAAGGCCTCCTCGTAAAGACCGACCGAAATGCACATCTCGGCGATTTCATCGGGGCTAAACTCGTTGAGTTGATGGATGTAATCCATCAGGCGTCCCTTATCAGCCTTGGCAGCTGTGAGCATGAGCAAGTTCTGCAGACTGCCGTTGTCGCTGAAAGGAGAGGGCTCGAGAATGATCTTCTCAAGCAACTCGATCAGCTCGCCGGGCAGATCAGCTTCGAGGAAAGCCTTGACAGCGATAGACACTTTGTCGGGCTCAGTCGACTCAGGCACAGCGGTCGCAATGACCTGGTCGACAAGTGAACGCCGATGCATGTTGTTCTCGCTGAGAACGAAGGACCAGATCTCCGAATCGGCTCTCTCCACGAGGTAGCGTGCCTGGGCACGGTACATAGCGTTCTCATTGGTGATATTGATCAGTTCGAGATCATTCTGTCCCTTCCGATAGGCAATGTATGCCAGGTTCGGGTCACGCTTCTCGCAGTACTTTCCAACGGTG